TGTTTCAGTGCTATCCATAAAGTGTTCTGGGAATATATCAAACAATGTTTCACTGCTTTTCATAAGGTTTTATGAATGGCAGACCTTTGCAAAGCTGGGTTTGGGTAGTTGCTGTGACAAAAAGCAAGTACCTCATGAAATCGGTGAAGAACAAGAATGGAAGGTGACTGTGCTCCCTTTTTCCAAGACAGGAGAAGCTGCACCACGCCACAGGCACAGACTTTCCATTCAGAAAGAATTGTGTTTACTTAAGAAATTGAAATTTTGCTGAAAAACGTTTATTTAAGCTTTTCAAAAGGCCATTAAGTTTTTGCAACATAAATGTTTGAATCTTAAACTAGGTAGGGGGATTACTTCTGGCCCCAGAAACCCCAGCCTTACATAGCACTGTGTGTGGGAGCACTAGGGCTCACTTGGCTCTCAAAACCGGGCTGCTCTGAGCACTGAGTCTATGATCTTAGCAATGCCTTTGTCTTCCTTTTGTAAAATGATGGTGCCCAAGAGAGGCTAAAGGAAAGAAACAGTGTGCCCTTACCTGACCCACTCGGCTCATACCACGTTGCTCAGGAGGAAGGCAGCTTTGTTCCTTATGGTAATGGTTTAGCTCCAGAAACTCTAAACATTATGTTAGTTTTTATACCTTTTACAAGTAGTGTCATTTGTTTTGCTTTCAGGTATAAAAGGAAACTCCTCATAAATGACTTTGGAAGAGAGAGGAAGTCGTCCTCAGGAAGGTAATGCCAAGCAGATGTGGTTTTTCTGATTTGCTAGGTCCATGACTTGTTAGTGACAGGGATTGAATGTGAAACACGTTCGTTGTCCCAGGAACACTTCTTGATGAATCCATCTTTGTTCACTGATGTGAAATCGTGTTCTCTTGTGTACTCAGGTCCCACGAGTGCAAAGATTCTGGACTGTTCTGGGGCTGATTTGGTTTGGGATCCCTTACTGGGTTTCAGTATTTCCTTGACTCGGTTTTCTTAGTCTTAATGGTCCTGTTCATCTCTTTTTTTTTTTTAATTATTTTTTTTTCCCTTTTTTATTTTATTTTGATTTGGGTGAAGATTTACAGAGTAAATTCACTTTTCATACAGCAGTTCACGTATATTTTGTCTCATGTCATTGACCAAAATTTACAATGCA